TTTACATTTTTGTTTTAAAAATTCTTTCCTATCCCAGTGACATAAAAATATTCTTATTTCTTCTAAAAGTGTTAACAGTTTAGCTTTCCACATTTAAATCTTTAATCTGTTGAGTTATTTTTATGTGTGGTGTGAAATAAAGGTCTAATTTTATCTTTTCCTGTCTCTACAACCAATAGTCCCAGTACTGTTTATTTAATGGTCTGTCTTTTTCCCACTGACTTATAATGCCTCCTCTGACCATCATATAATTAAATTAGAAATCAGTATCAAAATGATAACTAAAATAAAACAAAAATTCACACCTTTGGACATCAAGGAAAGAAATCATAATGGAAATTAAAAGATATCTAAGAGTGAATAAAATAAAACTATTACCATCAAAACTTGTGGAACATAATTTAAGCAGTTGATGTAATTTTTAAATATCAAGCTTAAAGAAAATGAGACTGAAAATTAAAGAGTGAAGTATACCCAATTTAGGAAGTTAGAGAAAGTAACAACAATCTAAAGAAATGAGAAAGAATGAAGTAGAAAGTTGAGAGCAAACGTTAATAAAGTGGAAAACGGGCCAGGCGCAGTGGCTCATGCCTATAATCCTAACACTTTTGAAGGCCAAGGTGGGAGGATCGCTTGAGCCCAGCAGTTTGAGGTTGCAGTGAACTACGATGATGCCACTGCACTCCATCCTGGACCACAGAGCAAGACCCTGTCTATAAATAAATAAATGAGGAAAGTGGAAAACAAAGACACAATGGAGGGAATCAATAAAACCCCATGTTGGTTGTCAAATAGGTGAACCTGGCAACCTTGATGAAAAGAAAGCACAAATAATACTAGGAATAATAGTAGGATAGAAGGGATATAATGGCAGATTTTTAAGAAACCATAAGATTACTTTATTCATACCAATAACTTTGGTAAAATAGACAGTTGTCTAGAAAAATAGAACTTAGTAAAAAACTTACTCAAGAAGAAATAGAAATTGGTAAACATTTTTGAAAATTGTTCCCAAACGTCTACTAAAGCTGAGCCCAGCAGTTCCACTCTTGGACAGCAGAAAGGCAAACACATGTCCACTGCAAGACATGGACTGGAATGTTCTCAACAGCATTATTTGTAATAGTCAAAGACTAGAACTACCCAAAAGCCAATCAGTGGTAGAATGGATAAGTTATCGCATATTCACGTAATGTAATAACCATAAAGCAGTTAGAGTGAATGAACTACGATTACATGTAACGGTATGGACGAATCTCTCAAATACAGTGTTGAACAAAGTAAATAAAACACAAAAAGTACATTTATATGACTGTTATATAGGGTGTACTTTTGTGTGTGTGTGTGTGTGTGTGTGTTATCCTCTAATGTAATCAAAACAGTACTTTGAAATCTACCTGCCAAAAATCTACAGGTGAAGTCTGTGAAATCTTTAAGGACTTGCTATCTTCTACAAACTATTCTAGAGAACAGAAAAAGAAGGAGAGCTTCCCATCTAGTTTTTTGAGGCTGGTATAACATTGTTTCTAAAACTAGACAAGGCCATTATGAGAAAGAAAAATTATGGAACAATTTGTTTTTTGCTGATGGGTATATATAATAATCCTAAATAAAATATTAGCAAACTTAAACTCAACAGTGTTTAAAAAATAAACATCTAGTATGATGTACTATATTAGGATTTATCTCAGGAATCTTAGAAAATATTATAATTATAATCCACACATTAACAGATTAAAAGAGAAAACCCCAAATGCTCATCTCAGTAGATATGAAAACAATTTGATAAAATTCAGTACCCATTCATAAACAGATAGGAACGCCTATTACCAGTACTTTCATTCAACACCAGTCATAGCGTAATGAGAATAAAAACCAAACCAAAACAAAAACCACACATAAGGATGGAATGGGAAAAACAAAACTGTCATTATCACAGATGATGACTGTCTACCTAGAAAATCCAAGAGTGTCTACAAAGCACGAAAACTAATAAGAGATCATAAGATTAAAAAAGTCTCAGTAACATTCCCTCTACTGAAATCACTTAGAAAATACAAGTATAAAAAATTACTGTTTACAAACAGCACTAAAAACTTTAAGGTACTTAGGAATTAAATCTAACATAAAATCTGCAAGATCTCTAAATGAATGGAAAGATTCACCACATTCCTGAACTGAGCCTGGTGAGACGCAGTACTGTGATCTCTCCACACGTTGCCAGTTCCAGTGTGTAGCAGAGACGGCTGGCTGACTCCCCGTATCCACATTCCCTTTGCTTTAAAAATTGGGTTTATTTTTTTCCCCTTGTGACACACAGCTACTACATTTCTCAGCTTGCCACCACAAAGACTGGGGGTTCTACCAGTGGCATGTAAGCAGAAAGGCATGCAGGACTTCCAGGAAGAGTCCTTTAGGCAGGGGACCCTTCTTGGAGGACAAGGTGGAAGCCTGGTGCTGAGGAGCAGCAGGACAGAGGAGCCGAGGGCTGAGGCCTTCGGGACACTGCCCCACCAGCCTGGGCTGCCTGAGTCTAGACTTCTGCATGAGAGAGACACCAGCTTCTACCTTATTTTTAAGTTTCTGTTATTAATATTTTGTGTTACCTGTCATATGGAGCTAAACCAATTCCTAACTGCTGTATACTCAAAATTCAAAAGTGTGTGCGTGCGTGTGTATTTTGGTGGGACTAGACTTCTTGAAGTTAGGCCTAAAACTATGCAAGAGTATTTTAAAGGAACATAGGAGAAGATTTCTCTACCAAACTGTAGTAATTAGTGTGTTATTAGCACAAGTTAGGCAAATAGTTTAAAGAAACAGAAATCTGTATAATGTTTATGTTTCAGTACTTGTAGACATTTCATATAGGACCTAGTGCACAGTCACTTTTTGTAAATGTCTTGTGTATAATGGAAAAGAATGTATATTCTCAATATCAAGTGCAGTCTGTATATGTCCATTTAGACAAACTTGGTATTTATTTTCTCTATCATTTTTTTGTCTGATCTATCAATTACTGAGTTATATACTGAAAATTAAATATGTGTCTGGATGTTTCCACTTCTCTTGTAATTCTAATAACTTTTGTTTTCTATACTTTAATACCGTCATGTTATATATAGATATGTTGATGTATTCTAGCAATTTTATCCCTGATGTCTTTTTGCCTTTGAGGCCTATTTATTTGACATGACTATAGCAATATTAGCTTCCTTTGGTTAGTTTTTCTCTGTTATTTCTTTTTCTATCTCTTTACATCAGACTTGTCTATGTCTATATTGTAGGTTTGTCTGTTGGGGGGAGGGAGGTGGGAGTGGCTTTGATTTCCCTAACTTTTTTTCAAATCTACCTGTTTTTTCCCCATAATACCTTGTTCTTTTCTTTTTCTAAAGTCCTCTTTTTATATCTTAGTCTTTTTAAAGTTTAAAGTCATTTTCAGATTGTTCTGTATTTATGTCCTTGGGATGTAGTCATGCTATCTGCTGTACATGCTGACTCTTGCTTGTGATGGGTTGTTTACTCATTGATTTTATAATTTTTGTATTCTAAGTCTTTCCCTGTGGGAGCTTTATCTATAAATCCCACATAATGCCAGGATAAGAGAGTATCTCTTCAGGGTAATTTTGCATTTGCTTTTGCCTGGCTCCTTAGATATATCCATCTCCATCCCAGAACCAATTTTTATGTAACTTTTTGATGGGTTCTGAGACCACATATGTAGTGTAACTTGAACCCCAAATTTGCTTACAGTTCTCAATTCTCAGGCAGGACCAAGATTTCTGCTCCCTCCCTGGGGAAGATAGACTTTCAGTTTGATTTTTCTCAACGTCTCTTTCACCGAGGGTGCTGCTATTTGAAGGTTATCTTTAGACAGATAATTGAGCTCAAAATTACTACCTCTTTCAAACCCAAGGCCTCAACCCAAATAGGTGATAAAAGCCAAGTGGTTCTGGGTTAGCAGGACCTGGGTGCACCCTTCAGCCCACCCTTGGCAGCCCACTCACTCACTGCTCTGCTTTCCAGCCCACTTATTCCTGGCACCCTGGGACCGCCTTTTCTTTTCTTATGGTCAGCTATGCCTGTAAGGTATTTTAAAATATTTTATCTAGCATTGTTAGATCTTTATAGTAGGACAATTTTCAGGTTATCTTAGTCTATAATTTTTTCAGAACTGGAAATCTAGAAATAGAGATTTAAATTAATACATTCAAAGATTGGCACAAAGCTAAAAAACAAAACATGGATTTTGTTAAGAGCATCATGTGATGCATCTTTTTTCACATGGGGACTTTTATTCATGGTTGACGTAGACTGAGTAAGGAGTGGCGTAGCCATCAGTCTTCAGTATCCATAGAGTCACCCTCAAGAGGATGGCTACCAATCCTGACTTCTGAACTTTTTGCCCTGTTTGTAAGATTTCCCTTTGCATTCTCTAACCTGTCACTGAACCTAGGTTTTATCACAGCCTGCAGTCTCCCTCCACCATGCATGCTCAGAATTTACTTAAATAGAAGAAGGAGAAGGGACAAAGGGGAGAGGAGGGAGGAAGAGCATTTTAAAGAGCTGCTGAGGAAAACTCCAACATTCTGGTTGCCTGCAGTGAATTAGCCTCCTCTCCAGTGGCTTCCTTCTTGTCGCACCCTGCAAAACCCAGCTCTTAAGGTCAATTGGAGCTGGGCGGTGTCAGTGGGAACAGCGGGGCTGAGATTAGGAATATGCAGATGTGCCTCCCACTGCCTTCCAGAGCCAAATTGCACAAACAACGTTTACACTGCCCGTTACCTTCTTTTCTCCTGTGCACCTACCACAGGCTGCCAGTTTTATCCTGTCAAATGCAGGGTGTTATGGTACTTTAGGATATGAATTGCTTGCCTAGAGCAGATCGATATGACAGTTCATTCCTAGTCTGTAGAAGTGACTGCACCAAGAGAAGCTCTTCCAGGCATCATGATGCTTCTGCTTTTTCTGTGTCTGGTAATCGTGTGTTGATCTCTTTTTAGGGAGGAATGATCAACTGGAATCGTCTTTTCCCTCCTTTACGTCAGCGACGAAATATAAACTATCAGGATGGTCGACAGTCTGAACAAGCAGCCTCCCCTCCTCTAGAGGTTTCTGAGGAGCAGGTAATCAGTAACACTTCGTGCTTATCCTAAATCCATGCCTCAAACTGCCAGCAGTTTTGTCAACAGACTTGAAAGTAATCAAGCGTGTAAATACAAAGATTTTGATGGCAGTTCGGCTGCCACCAGTGTAGAGACTTCGGGCTTTTATTGGCTGCTGTGGGTCTTATGAGTTTGAGGAAGGCATGATTTGAAAACAAAATATATTGGGGGCTTATTTTAAAATCTCTTATACTTTATATATACTGTGCAAGAAATAATGAAGTTGGTTCCCTACAAAGGGTCTAGGGGAAGGAGGTGGAAGGATGAGGGAGTGGCACTTCTCTGAGTACACCTCTGGTGTGGTTTGACTTTTGCATGGTTTTGAATCACGTTAATGTTTTACATACTCAAAAAGCAACAAGGACAGGGACAAATGTAAAACTGTAAAGAAACAAGCAGATGATCCAACTGTATTTCAAAAGAATGATAATAGTCACATTGAAGGGAAGGAAAGTAATTTCAGTAACTTTTGAACATAATATACCTTCAGTCTGAAGAAGAAGAAGAAGAAAAAGAACTGCAAACAAATCTTAAACTGTTCTTCGTAGGTTTATTTTTCATAATGGTGTGCAGTGGCATCCCAGTAGCAATGAGCAGACCTAGTGCCCAGATCTGGTTTCTAAACACTTTTCCCCACTGAAAGGAACCAGATATCTTTAGAGAAATGGTGAATCCCAGGCCCACAGTAGGGAATGTACAAGATGACTCTGAAACATCTTGTTCCAGGAAGTAAGGAAATATACGGTAGTTGGTGGGGCATGTCAGAAGGACTCTGGAGCCAGCTAGGGGGGTCCCACTGGCCACATCTGGGACATCAGCTTTGAGCATCAAAACAAATGAGGATGGTAGCATAATATGGCTCATGGGATGGGGAGGAGGATGCAAGATAGTACTGATACTAGGTGATAGATATTTATATAACACAGGTATGGGGGGAAGGAAGTGCTTTTCCTAAGTAGAATGTCAAGTAATAATATACAAAGAATGGTGGCATTGGAAAATTACAATTTTGCAGCCATCACAGTAGAAATCAATTCAGGGAATTATCATCAATATATGAAGACTAAGCCATTTAAGAAAAATTAGCTGGGTGTCGTGGCACGTGCCTGTAGTACCAACTACTCAAGAGGCTGAGGCAAGAATCGGGATCACTTGAGCCCAGGAGTTTGAGGTTGCAGTGAGCTACGATGACGCCACTGCACTCCAGCCTGGGCAATAGCGCAAGATTCTGTCTCAAAAAAAGACTAAGCTATTTATATACGGACATCCGGACTTATGGGGGTTTGAGTTTCAATTTTACAATGGTGCGAAAGCAATACGCATTCAGTAGAAGCCATACTCAGAATTTTTAATTTTGATCTTTTCCCGGGCTAACAGTGTGTGGTAGTGATGCTCTCGCAGTGCTGGGCAGCCGCAGCAAGCCCTTCTGTTTCTCACTTTCAGTACAGTATTCAATAAATTACATGAGGTATTCAGTACTCTATTATAAAATAAGGTTTGTGTTAGATGATTTGCCCAACTGAAGGCTAAAGTAACTGTTCTGAGCACGTGTGAGGTAGGCTAGGTAAAGCTGTTATGTTCTGTAGGTTAGGTATATTAAGTGCATTTCGACTTACAGTATTTTCAACTTACAGTGCATTTATTGGGATGCAACATAACGTAACCCCGTCCTAAGTTGAGGAGCATCTGTACTCTCAGATTATCTCCCCACAAGTTATTTATTGATACAAAAGGAAAATAGTAACTGTGCAGTGGAGAAATTGGATGCCACCTAACCAGGTTATCAAAATTAACATTCTGATAATGAAACAAAGAGTCATCGTGTTTAGATCCTGAAAAAGATAGATAAGTTGTGTGTTACAATCAACGTGCATAACTTTGATCATGAAGGAAAATCTGACAAACCCAATTTGAGGGGCATTGTATAGCATCGGTCCCCAACCTTTTTGGCACCAGGGGCCGGTTTCATAGAAGACAGTTTTTCCACAGATGTGGCGTGGGGGAGGCATAGCTCAGACAGTGATGTGAGCAGTGGGGAGCGGCTGTAAATACAGGTGAAGCTTCACTTGCTCACCCACCACTCGCTTCCTGCTGTGCAGCCTGGTTCCTAAGTTTCATGAAAGACAATTTTTCCATGGGGGATCGGGGACCTCAGGCAGTGATACATGGCCCAGTTCCTAACAGGCCACAGACCAGGCTGTAAACTGGGGGTTGGGAACTGCGGTTCTGTAGGATACCTGACCTGTATTCTTCAAAAATACCATGTCACAGACTTCCAGATTAAAGGAGACAAGGGAGGCATGCTACTAAATGTAGTACATGATCCTGGGCTGGATTCTGCATTGGAAACAAAGTTTTTTAGTGAAAGGCCATTTTAGGATCAATTGATGAAATTGGACTGTAAATTGGACATTAGTATTAATTATTTTAAATTTCCAGGATTTGGTATATGCTGACTGTGGTTAGGAAAGAAAATATTCTTGCTTTTAGTAAATATACACCGAAGTATTAAGGGGAAAAGTGACGTGATGTGTGCGGCCACTCTTAAATGGCTCAGGACAATACATGGGAGCATGTGTGTGCATATGCACATGTGTTTGCATGTGTGTGTGTACAAAGAATGCAACCATGGCAAAATAACAATGGGTGAATCTGGGTGAAGAGGAAGAAGGGATTCTTGGTACTATTCTTGAAACTTTTCTAAGTTTTAAATTATTTCAAATTAGAAAGTTTTAAAAAAATCTGTGAAAGTTTGGAGGATTGCTGTAATAACATGTTGAAATTTCCTTCTGCCTGTGTTGTTTTCTTCTCAGCAAACAAAACAAATCGAGGTCAGCATTTCACAGTTGGTCACACCATCCAGGCCATCACCTCCCCATCCCTTGTCCCCAGTGTAAACAACTCCAGTCAGACCCAGGGCACCCAACCTCTGCGGCAAAACTGGGTCCTGCCTTTTTCTGGAACTCAGAAGGTGCCCCTGGGCGGGGCGCCCACTGCCACCCCTGGTTAGGCCACGAAAAGTGTTTTTCAGAGAAACCAACTGAATGTGCTGGATTAATTGATCCAGCCCCTCCACTTGCAGCTTCTCGACTCAGATTGATCATTTCAGCAACTCTTAGGGTTGACAGGTGGATTCCTTCTCTTCCACCTCCGTTAGAGAATTCCGGACATATGTTAGCCCTGTGGATAAGAAAATGAAGCCCAATAACTCAGCATTTGTAAGATCTTTATAGTAACAAGTTAAAAAACAAGATACTATTCTCAAATTCAGGTAAAAAGAAATATCAAAATTCTGTTATATTACTGTTTACTTGATATGACAGTGAGTCACATTCCTCACGGGGCAGCCGTTAACGATACAAGGTATTTAAAGGTGACATAATTCTTAGTTTGGCACTTTGAAAAAAGAAAGTGTCAAAAAGGGAGGATGAGAAGAATGTATGTGATTGAAGTCTTTAAGGTTTTTTTTTTTAAAATGAATCATTTTTCCTTGATCCTCCCAGAATGGCAACAGTGAGGTTAACATGTTATTGATACCAGTTTAAAACAGCATTTAATTCTTCCTTGCTCTGTGTTATGAGAAGTTGTAAATACATGAGAGGTTGTTTTCAACATATACTTTCTTATTCGTTGATTTTCCAAATCTTATTTTTCATGTTCCTTGATTATCCCAAAAATGACTGTTACAGACATCATTGCATTAAAGACACAAGGTTCTCACTGGCATTGTTTGTTCTGCAGGTTCTTGGTATTTTTTATGGTAGGTGCTGTAGAGATTGTAAAAGATAAAAAAGGTATTGTTCTTGCCCTCAAGATGTTTACAAAAAGTTTAGACATTTATGTGTTAATGTGTGATCTCTTGATTAGTTCATTGATGCCAGCCACTATCTAAAATATTACTTGTTAATAACATATTAAAATGGCTTAAATTAACAAAACCTTTTTAGGCTTAATTTTTCAATTAAATATGTTTGTATTTTCTTCATTTAAATATCAGAGTCATATAATTTTAATGCACTAAGAAGCTTAATAATTTTCTAAATCAAGAAAAATAGAAATGATTTTTTTTCTGCTATAAACAAACACATTAGGAATTTTAGTGACAGTTCTTCAAGGAAACCTCGTAGATGGGAAATGCATACCATGTACTTTGAAAACAAAATATTCTACGAGTATGCATCCTTTAATAAATCCAGTAATTTTAAATACAGCCATAGAAATCTTTTGCCACCTTTTCTACTTTTTCTGTCATTAAGATTCTGGATTTTTAATTCTTCAAAATCCATTCCTGTTGTTTGGTGACTAGACCTGTAGCCCCTTCGCAGTTCATCACCCCTTGGCGATGCCTTCTTAGCTAGCCCCTTTTAAGAACGTGCCAAAAAGGAGGTTGTGGTGGAGGCAGCTAGCACAAGGCCAGAGAGCAGTGCCTGGGCTATCGAACCCACAACAGGACGGCTGGAGGCGATCCTGGAAACCAAAGGGCAAAATGTGTGCTTGTGCCTTCTTTGTGCAGACATGTGGGGAGAAACATAGGAAGAAAAACCCAGAGATCACTGTCAGTTTTGCAGGACTTTCCAAGAAGTGCTCTGAGAGGTAGAAGACAGTATCTGGGAAAGAGAAGTCTAAATTTGATGAAATGACGGAAGTGCTCTGGTGGGCAAATAAAGGATGATGACCAGCTTGGGGAGACAAGAAAGGACCCTAATGTCCCCTAAAGACCACCATTCAGATTCCTTCAGGTCTGTTCAGAATTCCGCCCTGATATTCAGAAATCCACAGACCCTGGCATCACTGTTGGAGACATAGCAGGCAAGCCAGGTGAGCTGTGGGGTGACAAGTGACAGTGAGAAGCAGCCTTACCACAGGCAGCAAGGCAAGGAAGCTGCCAGAGAAATACAAGCAAGTATTGCCGACTAAGTCTCAAGGGACAAAGGGTCCTGCCAGAGTTGCCCAGAAAAAGG